GATTTTAGTAGTATACTCCAAATTATGGTTCACTTAAATCAAGGTCACCATATTATCTACATAATAACGAATATTTAACACCTTACATGGAACTTTATTTAATATTCTTTGGTCACTAATTTTTTTACCCACTAGTGAATTAATAAAAACCTTCAGTAAGAAATCAGACCAACCATCAAATAAATCGTCTTTAAAACTGGAACTCCTATTATGTTTGTTGAACAAGTTGAATTTAACATATAACCCTTATTTTTCCATTAAAAGTCCAAAATTTCGAAGAAGGATCAGGATATTTTTACTAACTAGGAAACTACTTTGTAGACTAAACTGTTATTATTAGATTTATGTTAAAATTCAGTATTGAATTAATAAAATATTGTGATAGGTTTAGCAAACTGTTGTAAAAATTGTAAACTGAATTACATCAAGTTAATTGACGTTTTTGGATTTGTTTTAAGAATCAAGTATTGAATATTTTACTATGAATTATCAAATTAAATCAAACTTTAGGTTTTCACCATACACACTTTATTCTGTAACTGTATCTATCAGTTTAGAACTACTAGCAGAAGAAATATGGTGCAGTTTTTGAATAGTGATTGAAATAGGTCATTATGTCTATAACAATCCCTCAAAAATCAGTCAATTATTGATTTTTATTACTCCAGGTAAAACTTGACTGACCCCCTACAAGAGGTATTTCCTGGAGTTCTAATGAGAAGCATTAACCAATGGAGTTCAACCGGGTCTTTTGTGAAATAGTAACTCACTAAAGGCAATGGTGTATGTGTCGCTCGATTTCGTGGATTAGTTGAAGTTAGATATTAACACCGTTGGATGCCGGCTCAGTGGTCTAGTGGTTAAGCGCTTGCGCACGAGTTCGATGTGTCCAGGGCTCGAATCCAGCGGGCGCGGGGTCGTGAATGCACACTACTGAGGAGCCCACACTGGGACGAAACGGCCTTCTAATGTTCCCAGGTTTTCCATGATGGTCTAACTTCAATTAACTCATGATCTCGACCATTAAAATTTTTATTATCGTGAAAAATATATATATAAAACAATTGAAGACGGAAATGTCAGTCATCGATTTTGACAAATACTCAGTTCGTTTAGAACTGAATTCATTACTAGTTGTCTACTTGTAAAAAAAAAACTAATTCCAAACTTATTTGTTTACAGTTTGTGCATTTGGAAATCCTGTAATTTTCATTACATAAGACTGTTATACTTAATTTTTTAATGTAATCTATAGTGAAACATATTTTGTAGGTTAAAGTGTTGGGAAAGGATATTAAAGTATATGTGATAAATGTTTAAGTATTTTCAATAAAATAGGGAGTGATAAAAAGCATGATATCACTATAGTTAGGTATGTATGAAATATGTTGTATACTGTAGTAAACATTTCATATTTTAAATCTCTTCCAAATACTGTGTATAAGTACATACATTATTTTGATGAACAAACAATAACAAGGATGGTTTATTCAATGATCGAAACAAAATTTCAATTCGAAATTATTACTAGCTAGCCAACAATTTACAAATATATGTAGCAATAAATCCTTTTTAAATCGGTACATAACCCTTAGTGATGCGTACTCATGGCTTCTCTAAATATTGGGTCTTGAGCATCTCAACAGGTTGTGATTAATTGACTTGATCACAGTTATTGAAATAACAAGTTTCAGTTAAACATTTAACATATCTTTAGTGTAACGTGTTGTTGCTATTACAGAGCATTTGACTGACATTGGAAACTGCACCACATAAGAGATAAATTGAATTGTAATAGAACTCCTGAATATAGAAGTCTTCACTCGTTGTAAAAAAGTGAAGTAAACGAATTCGATCATAGTAAATCATGTGAATCTGTTACATTGAAATGTAAATGGATCTAATATGCATTTTGTTACCTTTTAAAACCTGTCGAATCTTTTAAATACTTGGCATTCTTTAATACATAGTACAATACTTCAGGACGATATTGAGAATTCACTTCAATTTCCCATGTTTCAGTCTCATTTCCTATCTCAAAATTTTCGATTGTTTTAAGCTTTAAATTTATATATATATATCAAATAATATGTACCAGGAGTAAGTGCTAACTAAATTTATCAAGTGTTTGCATGGTGGCAATAATGGTGATCATACTAACATTGTCGAATAAGTTTAATTTATGAAATAAAAGAGGAAAGCTATTAGGCCAGGAATTGGCCAAACTCCAACTTTTGTATCTGAATAGCTACTGCTTTGACTGTATGAAGGATTCTCAATCTAACGGGTTTATAAAGACATTAATTAACACAGTATAGTACTATAAGTGACTGACCCGTTTGCACTAAATGAGCAACAATTGAACTGTTAACACTTTTAACTACAACCCTGCTTAATCACATTGGGAGGTACTCTTAAGCACGAAAATACAGATTCCTAGAACTTCTACCACAATAACTTGCTCCACAAGAGCAGCTAGAAATAGTTAGAGGTGCCCAGTCTAGGTAATTTATCTCTCAATTTTAAAGTCACCATCTGACTCATAGAAAACATCAATTGTAATTTTATTGCATTAAGTTATTTGATTTTCTCTGCCCAACTTTTGCAATAGCACTTTCCTGAGTGCATCACCTCTAAATAATAGGTGCATAAACAAACCTTTTACTTACCGTTAAGACTTCTTTTTACTAAAGTATCTTGACTGCATTCATCTTTAAATTTCTCGGAGAACCTACTTTCTTTCAGAGGACTAAGTAATGCATTTGTTTCCTCTGAGACTGAGTCTGGAGTGCTTCCGGTGGAGTTTTGTTCTATGAGTTGTATGGTTTGGTCGTGGAGATTTAATCGTTCTTCTGAACGGCATCATCAGCACAAACTTCGAACACTTCATTTCTACATGAAATTCATGTTGATGATGTCGTTCAGAAGAACGATGAAATCTCCTCGAGCAAAAACTACCCAGCTCGTAAAACAAAACTCCACCCAAATCATCCACCTGAGCTACAAATTTTCTCTAATATCTCAGTATCTGGAGCGCCTATAACTTTGATTCTGTAATGAAGTGTCTTAATCAGTCTTAATTTTACGTTATAAAGGGACAACACTGAGAAAATGTGTGCTCTGACTCGTCCAAATATATATTCTCAGTAGGTTCCTTCTTCAGGACCTTTCTTCTTTCTTCGTAATGAGAACGTTTAGAAAGGCTATTCCGCTTCCAATTTCTTCATCACATATGAATATGTTTGACGGATGGACTTCATTTAATCTCTTGAATGTCTCTATCCGTTCAGTATGGTCGTTACAAAAGATGAATGCATCGTCCATATATCGGTAATAAAATCAAAACTTATCAGTAGTTTGTGTCAGAGCACAGTTTCTGGTTTATCTAGAAACGCGTAAGATAACATGGGACCTAGTGGTGAACCCGTCACGACACTATTAATTTGTCTATATATTTCGCTACCAAATATGACGTTGACATTCATGGTATATTTTAGTAATATGTCTTTAATGGCGTCAACTGAAATTGTAGTTTCTATTTCGTGTTCTCTAAGCTCCACACAAATATATACGAGTCTTCGTGAGTGGGATATCAATTAATAATGGTGTCATATATAAGGAAACAATCATTAAGTCACTAATGTTTACGTTTTCAATCTTGTCGACAAAATGGAATACATCCTTACTAATATGCTTCATCAGTGTTTTCGAAGTGGTTGATAACTACATTTCTATAATATGGTAAGGCGACTTATACAAAATTGATCTCGATGGGACACCCAGTTTATAAAATTTCAGAAATCCATATAATTTTGGCAAATGGGTGCCTATCGCTTGAATAGTTCAATAAATATTTGATGAAACTGCCTGTTGACCTCTAAGCTTTTCTAAATATCTGTTCAGATCATTTCCTACTTATTATCAATGCCTTTCTAGTCTTTCAGTTTCTGGAAGTATAGATAATCATTCGAGACATAATTTGTCTCGTTAAAATAGTCATTTCTAATTAAGCACGACAGTTCCTATTCCTTTTGTCACATGATGTACTTAAATATGAATAGAAAATGTACAAAGAATAATTTGGTTTATTTAAAACTGAAAATTAAGTTCTAAGATACTACTTTGTATATATTAGTTTAAGGTTAGCTTTCACAAATAAAATACATTAGATAGACTTTAACGTGATTCATATTCCTCTTTGTAAGTGTAATTTACGTCATAAATTCGTCCATATTTTTCATATCCCTATATAACGTAGGTTATACATTATATACTTAGTAGTATTTGACTTAACAAGTCAATAGACGTCAATCCCAACTTTATTCAACATTACAACAATTCTTTAACACTAGAAATAATTAATCATCAAATTTTTATTTAACCTAGATTTTAGTTGATTCTGTCTTGGTTATTTGTATAGGATTCCTGAATTTAAAAAACGATTTCACTCACATACCAGTCAGACAATATCAACCACAGAGTTGGAAATAGATAGTGATTGCATAATAAGTTCCAAACAGTTATATAAGTTTCATTCATTCAACTTATTGTTGAAAATCACTGATCCTTCACATACATGCGTAGGTATACTGGTCATCATAAGTAAAACTTAGTGATCGCAAAAATGAGATCTTAAATATTTGCTTAATTTGAACAATAGACATTAGCAGGATATAATCTGAAGAACTGATTATGTTACTATAATCAACATACCAAAGAAAACATTTTTATTCAAATCATTGATGATATTTTCCTAAAACTCTAAAGTGAATGGTCAACATAAACATTTTGCTAGTACAGTTTAATTGAATAGTCAAACATAGCTTATCTGAGTATATATATTAAAATGGTTTCCGTCAAGTTTAGTCAACAAACGATTTTATTTCATTTCTAGTCCTTTATATACATACAAGTGTCAAGATATGTAGAGCCGCACATCTATACTCTCTTTCTGAAGTTTGAAGCATGGGATGAGGGGGAGGGATTCTATAATAACTTGCAACGAGTTTTCTTTAGAATGATCGTACGGCGAAAGCGATAGTGTGACTTATTTTCTCTCTGTTATTTCAGCCAATAGGAATTCAGTAATGAGTTTTGACCAGTTTTTTGCCAAGGTAAGGACACACATACATAGTTGCATACATACAAATATAAATAAACTAATTAACGTTATTTTAGTCTTCTTAATAGGAAAACCGTTCGTGCGTAACCCCTCACACAGTCCACAACTTCCCCTTTTATTATTTTAGGGAAGAAAATCCTCGTTGCAATCAGTAAATGTAACGGAATTAAAGTTAGTAATTAACTATTACTAGGGTTAGCCTATATTAATTGTAGAAAAAAAATAATGACAACAGTTTACAGTTTATAGATTGTGGGCGTTGACCGAATGCTTTAAAAGATAGTAAGTAGATTGATTTAGATGGATAGAGGAAAAAGTGAGTTAGTGAGTGAAGATAATAGAGAAAGAAATTAAATAAATACAAACTTGCAAAATGTCTTTCTTTTTTCAATCGTATAACAAAAAAAAAAAAACGAAATAGATTCATATTTAGAAAAAAAAACAATTTGCTAATCAGAAGGTAGTCATATATATATATATATATATATATATATATACTATCGGATATATGTAAGTGTGCATTAACATGTTGTAACAGCAGAGAAAGCAAATAAATAACATTGAACACCGGATAGATTCCGTCATTGAATGTAGTTCGACTGATCACCTCCAAGACGAAATAAGCATATTTTCCACATAATAGTAAAAAGGCATTTACGAAACAAGAGAAATTATAATCAGTATCTGGCAGAAAATGTTGAATGCTTTAGAAAATAATACATTACACAGTTATTCTTACAAAAATCCTAATCTTTTCTCCACAACAAATGACGTTGCAAATCTCTTCACAATGCTCATTGCACAACAACAGCCAAAACATATTAATAGAGAACTACCATTAAAAAGCCGATATCAATCTGTTTTCGTGGAAAATTCTTTGGTTTATAACTTCTTAAATAGAACAGAATCACCGTCAGCTATATCAACAGTAGCGACAACGACTACCCCTGCTACTAAACAATACAAATATCAAGAACTGTGGCCAATTTCTTCTAAACAGTCAAAATATCAACTTAAATTTGGAATCGATACTATACTTGGCAGTGTGGATACAAATGAACACTTATTGAAGAAATCCTCCGAAGTAACAAATGATTTGAAAAAGTTATTTGAAGTGAAAACAGATCAGTTATCAGTAAAAAGTACAACTTGTATAGTGACAGCAAATGAGCCAGAATCTAATTGTGTAAATATATATTCTAATGAAGAGAAAAGTGTTTTAAATAAAGACGGATCTTTGACAAATGTGAATTTACCTTCATCTGAAATGATGAAAACATTGTCTATGACTTTTTTAACACATCAATCTCCGACCATCCTCTCCTCTTATGATCATCAACAACATAATTGTTCTTCAGCAACTTCATCCATACAACCATCAATACCACTGCAATCTTCTTTGTTTCTTTCCTATGGTTCAATTCCTTTGGTCAATAAAATTGAAAAATCATCTGTTTCATCTGGTTCTTCATCATCTTCTTATTTATCACCAACACTACAAAAAGAACAAATATATTTCCATGACACCCCTGGTAAACTATGGTTAACTCCACAATTACCCAATAATATGATAAAATCTACAGAATCTTCAACTGTAAAAATACATAAAAATTCTGATTTAAAAGCATCAGATCATAGTTATTCATCGGATGATCAAAGTGGAAATTCTGTGAATGTGAGTTAATTTATTTGTCACAATATCTATTCGTTAGTATGATGATGTAAGTAGGTCTGTATACTTTATACTTATCATTTAACTTGTAATTTGTGTTCTGTGAATGATTTTCAATTTTATCTGAATGTAGATATGGAATGAGGAGAAATTTTGTCATTAATGTAAACATATATTTAAATTTTATTTTTTACTTTGGAATTACAGACTTCATAGAATATATTCTGTTTCAATAAAAATTAAGACTTATATATATTAATATTAGAAGAGGTTTCGTGGATATTATAGTAATTTCAATAGTTGAGATCATGAGGCAATTGAAGCTAGACCACCATGGAAAACCTAGAAGCACTGAACAGCCATTTTGTCCTAGTATGGGACTCCTCAGTAGTGCGCATCCACGATCCCGCCTCGCAAGATTCGAATCTACGACTTATCAGTCTTGCGCGCGAACGCTTAACCTCTAAATCACTGAGTCGGCATCCAATTTTCTGATTTTCATAACGTCTTTATTAGTTGTCTCTTGGATATCAGCTAATGAAATGACTAAATTCCTATTTATGGTCACAAGTTCAGGTTACTCAATACAAATTCCAAAGACGTTATTGCTAAGCTATTCACCTGATAAATATACATTCGTTATGATATCAATAACAGATTTAAAATATTGAAACTCAATTTTCTAATGATTACTGGAATAAATTAAAATCAATTAAGAATTTGAATGAAGATAGTAGTGAATATTTTATTTATATTTGTGCGTAGTTTTAACCATGAATTGACACCATTTATCAAAACGAGAATGAAACAGGCCGCTGATCCATTGTAATTTGCGTACCAACGTGCACATTTCATTACATTGAGTTGAACTAAAAACTTTCCAGTGACGCGTCAATATAGATTTATTTGGTTGAATTGGTTATAACTTTTTATGACTAAGCCAAGTAATCTGTACCGAGTTTCAACACTAATGGAGCTACTGTTATGATTTAAATATATGGCTTTGAAGACTTGTTCGATTAAAGACTATTTTCGTCAAGGATTTCTCCATCTACTGGATAACCTTTAAAACTATTTTGTTCCCGCTTAAATTCTTTGTGCTTTCCCATAAGTTACTGTATGATGGTTAGGTCAATAAATAATTATGTGGTTAAACTTTTCAACTATTATTCTTTGGAACAGATTTCATGGCTATTTAACTGTTTCTTGTCATTTACTAGGGTAGCCTCATATCGCGGTAGTTGGTTTCATTGGTCCAGATGCATTCAGTCTTTATTTTCTTTTAATTTTTGAGTTCCAGTAATCTCCTATACATGCTTCCTTTTGATCTGTTATTTTAAAATCATATTTTCCGGAGTTCAGTCTCCCTAGCTACGATTAATTTGACTCCTTTGGTATTTATCTTTCTAGGTTTATGCTGCTGTACTGATGTAGTATGGCAGGTTGGCCTGATACACCATTATAATAGGGCTTATTAAGCTTATGCCTGCTAACAGTTTTCAAAGATTACTTCAAGGCATATCTATACTCAATAAATGAACAAAAGAATTATTCAAATGCTCGACACTGATAAGTCCGTCCTATAAATTTAATTCTTCGAAGAACGTATAAATGACTTGGGAATCATTTTAATAATCCTCCCAAAACACAAAGCTCTTAAAAATAGCTGATTTTCATTTGTTTCATTTCCGCTAAACCACTGACTCAATATTTTATGATTTGAAATATGTGAAGTGATGTCAATCAAATGAATTGGATTTTGGGATTTACCAAAAGAATTTCATGAGAGTATGCCTTTTACCAGATAAATTTAGTAATACAGCACTGATCTAATACTAAAGATTAATAAATAAATTTATAGGAATCTAAAAAGTAAACTTTGATCAGTCAGCATATGATAAACAATTTTATGTTGGTTAATCCTCAGGGATAACTAATTTCTATCAATTATACTAGAAAGCAGAGATTAGCATGACTTCATATAGTGACGCAAAACATTTGATACTAAATGGTTTAAGGCAATCATAAGGAAGCTGTGAACCTAATTTTAATTTCAGTTAGAACTCATCATCAAAGGGTGTCTGTAATCGTGAACTATCCATGGAAATGAAGATATCCTTTAAATAATTTGGTTTTAATTTCAGATTGTAAAGTAACTAATGTCTAATGATTGTTTAGATTCAAATGATCTTTCGACCGACATCAAACTGTAATAAATAATATTTTAAATATATTTGTAATTAATTGGTTATCGGAAAGTCACCAGTTTTCATTTCGAAACTTTACTGATTTTAACCCAATAAACTGTTTGTTATATTTGTGTAAGACTTTTAACAAATACAATCGGTTTCTGTTTTAATAAATAAAAGAGAAGTTAAATTTGTATTCTATTCTAGTTTCTTAATTTTTACATTGTTTTTGGCCGCTGACTTTCTCATCAATCCACTTATGTTCTATTTATCGACAAAAAGTTACATAGTGGTACAGTATGACATAAAAAAGAGGTTGAATGACACGTCTTAACAAGATTTCTGGTCGAAATTTTGGCAGAACTTATTATAATTATTATTAACATTTCAACATTAGAATTGTAATGATGATGTATGTTGCTGCCGTTTTTGATGATGAAGGTGCAAACAATTTATTGTCTACATTATTTAACTGGAGAAAGAAAAAAATATAATTATGTCAAAACCGAGTGAAGAAATGACTAATCTTAATATACGGTAGAAGAAATGAAATTATATAAATGCGTTGTAAACCTGAATCATTCCACTAAACAAAAAAAATTGTAATTTACAAGACAGTAAAATTATTCGGAATGACAAGGACAAGAATATACTGTTCCTTTTTGTATGGATAAATTGTAATTGATCGTTGTATATTATTTAGACTATTGTTAGTTATTTTACTTGCAGATTTTTTGATTAAACATAAAAAGTGGTTAGTTAAATTGTTAGCTAGTTAAGTAGGTAGTCTGTTATTTAAGTGGACATGTTTCACTAATGAACCATGGTGATGCACAGTATACTAATGTGACGTGTATTAACATGATAAATATTAGTGTACTTATATATTCATATTATTTTCAATAGAAGTTTGTTCTGATTTCTATACAGTTGGGAAGACTTATTGAAACGGTCATATTTATCTATTTATCATCATAGAAATAAAAGATCATTTTATTGTTTAATGAATTTATTCAAAAGGCTTTCAATAAGATATAGTAAGAATGACATTTAAAGTACTGAATGGTTAAATATAAGATAATAATGGTGCTAATAATAATAACAATAATAATAATAACAATAATAATAATGGATATATGAATAATTCATTAATGATTAGATTAATTAACTAAATAAAAGTATTTTTATTATTTCGGGTTAATTGGAACAATATAATATGTAAATAAGGTGGCGACAAGTTGAATCTATAAAGTCAATTAGAAAAAAGATGAGGGTTATTAACATCTAAAGGGAAAATAAAGGTTTTGATGAAGATACCTGATTGATTTTTATGTCTTTTAATATCCTTGGCCTACTTATTATTTGTTTTTTAAACAGACAATTTTGATGATATTTGTCATTTGGTTAGTCGAAAAATAAAAAGGTCAGTTTAATATGAGATAAACTGATGAGAAAATAAATAATTCACCAAGGTGGTTTTAAGAATGTAATTTTTACCATAAATTAACATGAGTTTGAGGAATCAATCGAAAACAGATGATATATAGTTGTTTAGTCCTAATTTTGAAATCCTCAGCAATCTGCATTCATCATTCACACATGAGGTAAAATTTAGCAGCCTCAAGTTAAATTTAGGAAATAAGTGAATTGTAGAACAGCACTAAACAACATTGACTTTATTGGTCTTTGTATAAATGCTTGGGTATATATAAATACCTTTGTATATTGATCTAGGGTTGTAGAAGCACGCTGATGAGGCGTTTCAACCTAGATTAAAGTAGTCTTTCGTCACCCTCTTGTTTTCATACGCTCTCGATCTGATATGAATTCATGGAATTGTGTCTATACAGTTAATAAAGTAGACAGACTTCAGTGGCAAAAACATAATTAGTATTTGTGAAAACGTCTTTTATTCCTCTTTTGAGTTCGTTGTGAAGAGAAATATCAAGAACTTGTTTTCTCTCCAAGTTAATACTAACTAATTAAATTATGTTCATATTCAGGCATAGTTTCAGGAAATTCCTTTTATTTCTATATTTTGTATTGTAAGTAATTTGGACACGATTCAGTTAGCGATGATGAATCTTGTACTGAACTAGTTAATTTTTTCGGTACATAATAATTTGAAGCACTAAATCCTTATTCTATTTAGATTGGTAATGTATTTTTTAAAGGCTCGGTTTATCTTAATAATTCCTGTCGTAGAAAGATTACCGTTGTAGAATCAAATAACTACACCACGAAAATAAATTCTATTATCATAAAGGTAGATAGATAAAAGAAATGGAATATCGGAAAACTTTTTATGAAAGTGAATGGTATGTATCACTGGAAGATCTCTTCATTCTCGTCGATCACTTCTCAAGACTACACATTAATTACTTTAAATAAGATAGAACCTGTAACCGTTAAAAGGAATAAGACAATGTTAATTTACTAAGTTTACGTTTGATAATCCACATTTTAGACGATAGTGGATCATTCAGATGTTGAGTTAGATTACAGTTACTGAAATTTTCCTTTAGAAAAAACCCAAAATCTAGTGGTTTTACTCATAGTATACTTATTTTTCTACAGGTATAAGTGTACGTACATATATTCGACAATACACTGTAGAAGTGTTTCAATTATTTAATCGAACAAATCATCTGGTTAATTTACATTTTTACAATTATGATATATTAGTATGGAATTGTTATTATACAAAAGTACAATAGCATCAGACTAGGATGAATTAGCGTTGTTGTCACATGTCTTCAAAGTAAGCATGTGAAATATACGGTAGAAAATTAGGCTTAGTAGTTGTTACATGAT